GATAGCTTTCAGACCACAAGTGGCGTTCGTCAGAGTTGTCCGGTTTTCCCAATTTTGTTCAGTTTCGTCATGGACTCTATCATAGAGTGTTTTTCCTTACGGAGCCTCACGATGTAGGCGTCAAGATACTTCTTGGTGAAAGATTAGTTGTTCTTGATTATGCGGACGATATCGTCTTTCCGATGGCTTCTATCCCATTGTTGAGGCAATCTGCTTGATGGGTCACGCAGGATCATGACATTTTAAAGCCGTTGAGTTTTCTGACAAGAGGCACCGAGCTGTCCTGTCTTTCCCTATCCTTTCCATTATCCTGGAGACAATAAGCATGTGATTTATAGGGCTATAGTAATTTACATAGCATCCTCTTCGCAACACCGCTGCATCCCCGATTGCTGTAATTGTTCGTCTGCAGTGGGACATTTACTCAAAAATGACTACGCATTGGCAGTGTTCGAGTATTTGACGTAGAGTGAAGATTTGATACACACCCACGGCCAGAACGGAAGTCTGCGTGTTCTTCCTGTTACTGTGATTCTCGAATGGTGGATAGTCTACGGTTAGAATGGATGCCAATAGCTTGGAGGCAACCGAAATGGAACGAATCCGCGATGATTGGTGCCTAAAGTGCCAGTCCCCTTCTTATACATCGGAACTACAGTTGATTCGCCCCAGGAAAAAGGCACCATATCTTCAATATAGATTTTTAAAAATGTGGTTAGCTGGTTGGTGATAACTGCGCCTCCGTACTTGAACAGCTTCGAAGGAAGTTCGTTTTAGCCAGCAGCCTTTAGTCTTTTCAACTGTTGAAACGCAAGGCAAACTTCCGCTTCGGCGATTTCCCTAAATGTGACGACCCAGTAGGAGAAACTTGGTTCGCAGGACATACAACTGGACGATGAAGACCAACTGAACTGCGAATGAAAACGTTAGGCCCATCAATCCAAGCGTCTTTGCAAGTTAGCAATCGGCGAACCATCTGCTTCGCAGATTTTTTCACTAACCTATGACCATTGTAAGGAATGTGTTAGAGGGGCTTGCGAGTTTTGTTGGAGTGGGTAGTGGCCTCCATTCCCGAAGCACGTTGAGACCATCAGGCTTCGCAGTTACTGCCTAGGCTTTGTTTGAGCTACCGACTGACGGAACGATGTACTTCTTTACGATTTGATCCGTCCCTTTGTTGACTCGGTTTTTCCGTACCACAAGAAATATACCTTATTGTTTAACTTCGCTGGGATATTTCTGTGGTGATCAAATAGATCCAGGGTGCGCGTGGAGATCCAAGCTTTCATGTGCCGTTGAGTAAGACCACAGATTTACTGTCCGGAGTAATTCATGATCCTTTGCATGAAGTCCAGTTTTCATCAATGTCTTGTGGTGAGTCGCAGCTGAGTGCATCTTTCAGGTAAGCTTGATAGCTCTGTTAAACTGAAAGAGTGCTTCGTTCTCGGGACTTTCCGAAACTCATGCAGTTATTCGTGCAGACAAGAGCATGGTCTGGGCCAATAATGTGGATCAGATTGACCTGCAATCTTTCGCACTGCTCTGTCATTTAGAGCAGATTGCGATATAAAGTCCATGCAACCGAACATAAATTTTCAATAAATCTTCAGACTTGTGTAATAATATGTCTAAAAAAACACTGGTAGACACAGCGTTAGGGTCGTTAAATTACGTTCAGTTCACGATCACTGATCGTAAACTGAACGTAATTTACATACACCAACTTTGTCTCTACCAGTTTTTTTCACATTTACTTCTACAAGCCTGAACAAGAATTATTGAAAACTTGTTCGCTTGCATCGACTTTTAATCATGCAAGGGGATACTGGTTGCGATCAGATCAGTCTACGACCATAATTGCGACACAGATGGGCGCTACCGCCAGCTGATGCTTGAGGAAAACAGACGATTATTTTCGCACAGTGTGAGAAGTCTTTCTATTATCTGAGCGGCACTCATCGAGTGCATTGTGATCACCGAGATGACTTTCGCATGGAAATAGACGACCGACCAGTGTGAGATTACCAGCAAGCACAGCAATATGGGATTTGCATATTGCTGAAGTTCACGATAGGAATCGTCTTTGACCCAGTCGAAACTGCAGTCGGTTAGAGCTTATACTAAGATCACAAACAAGTTGCATCTCTCCTCACGGCATCGATCGATCCTACATGATCTCAGAAGCCAGCTACGCACAGTTGGCTATTAATTGGGTATTAGTCCAGCAGTGCGGCCTCGGCTTTGCTGCTTAGTGCTACACCAATGCTAGTCGAGTCTGCCGCAGTTGCTTCTGTGTTACTAGACATACGTAGGTGACATATGGCTCGTGGTCAGCGGGAGATCTCAACTCAATCACAGTGCTGGGATTTTGCAAGTAGGTTCCAGAAAGACAGCAAACATCGATGGTGAGGGATTCCAAGGTGCGCACAAAACCAGTCCGCTGTCCGATCTTTATGAGTTTACGTCCATTGAAGCATGCCAGACGTAACGAGAATCGAAACCTAAGTAGGGCTCCTACGCCAGCTCTGTGGAAGTCGAGGAAAACATCGGATGTAGAAGCATGGAAACAAGAACCAGCTGGCAACGGATAACAGTGATTGGTAACAAATGAACAGATAGCATGTAAAGGTGTGTGAGTGGCTAAAGCAAAAGCAGCTGAGCGTGATATAACAGATGTGCGATCCAAGCTTTTGTCAGTGGACGTGATACTATCAGGTTGCCCAAGCCGAAGTACATCATCATCATCATACACGTTAGCTAGAGGTGGGGAACACCTCAGCTACTGTGCCGCAATACATAGAAAAAGGAAGAAAAAAGCGACTGGTGCAAGCTGGTTGAGCTACCGGTAACGGATGGGCATCGTTCCGGTAAGCTACCAGCCGGCTGCTGTGCACCAAACAAAATTACTATGCAAAATTATAAAACGCTAAATGATGAGATCGTGGTTGGAGGGGGAGGCTAAGTGGGATGGGGTGGGACAAAGAAACTCACAGCACGAACGCCACTGAGGTCGGCTCCTAGCCATATCAGCAAGTGTATCCAACCAAACGTGTTCATCGTCTTTCGGACCCCAACCAGGGAGCCGAGACGCTCCAACCGAGGCCAGCTCAGAAGTGAGGGCCTTCATTCCTCTGGACCAAGTCATCGCTTGGCCACCCCTCCTCTTCTTCCATCCACACCTCCGGCGCGCAAGCAACACACGTCGCCGGAGTCGGTGGGCTGGTATGCGTAACACGTGTCCGGGCCATCGGAGCCTGATGCTGACCGGTTCATTTCCTTTTCCTGTGCCATAAACAAGGCGTCGAACACGCTGATTGCTCACGCGGTGTTCCCACCAGATATGAGCTAAATTATGAATGCACCGGTGGTCGAACGTAACTAACCTCTTCAGGTCCGCTGCTTTAAGCGGCCAGGTTTCACAACCGTACAGCAGGGTCGAACGTACCGCTGCGTTGTACACTCTACCTTTCAGGGCAAGAGTGATGTCGCACCGGTGCCATAAGTGGCGAAGGTTAGCAAAAGCGCCCCGAGCTTTTGCTATACGATTCGTGATTTCATCTTCAATCCCACGGGCGCTGATACAGCTTCCCAGGTAGTTGAATTTTTGAACGACTTCTAGCTGATCCCCACCAAGAGTCAGCGAAGGAGGCGGTCCCTGCCAATCTTGGAGGAACGCTTTGCACTTCGATGATGCGAAGCAAAGCCCAAAGTGACGGACAGCTAGTGCTAATCTGTCCAGTGCCGCTTGACACGTTTGTGAGCTGTCACAGATTAGGGCAATATCATTAGCATACTCTAAGTCAAGAAGTCGTTCTCCTGGAAGTAGCTTCACACCTTCTACGTCGTGTCTTGTGAACGCGATTTCCATGACATCATCAATAGCGTACTTCAAGAGGAAAGGTGACAGCGGGCATCCTTGTCTCACATCGCTGGAGATATTCAAGAGCGACGACAACTTGCCGTAAGCCCTCACTCTGCCCGAGCTACGCGCATATAATGCTCGGATAATATTCACATATTTCTCAGGTACACCTTTCCTGAGTAGATAGTCCAAAAGTGCATATCTATCCACCGAATCGAATGCACCTTTGATATCGAGGAACACGACTGGGGTGGGCCGCCAATATGTGTGACGGTGCTCCAACAACTGACGCAAAGTGAAGATGTGGTCAATGCAGCCACGACCTCGACGAAATCCAGCTTGCTCTTCACGAATCTGGCTTTCACGAGTGCCAGTCAGTCTGTGAAGGATGACAGAGGCAAGTAATTTGGAGGCGAAGTACGGAGTTGTGTTGAAGGGCACAACCCCGAGCCTTTGGCTAAATAGCCTACATGCAAGGTAGCGGAACGAATTCAGGGAATCGCGCTCATTAGGAGTCGGTAACTGAGTGCTCATTTCATGCGTCTTTCATTTGGTCGGTTACTAAACAAGGGCTTAGTCCTCCCTATGATGTCAGCCTGCTCGCTGGAGTACAATGCTCCACCGGTGGGGAGGCACTGGGCGAGTCACATACTGACATTTAAGCATTTTATGGGGAGAACGTTTACCAAGCGAAAACCCACCACGCCCCAGATCATTGCTGTCGAACACTTTGTTGAAACGAGGTAAACCCCTACCACCCAGTTGTTACCACGAAGAGGTAGTTCGGCAAGCCAACACCTGCTCTCCGAATCGAGGGTTATTTATCTACGAGAGTTGCGCACTCATTGTGTTTAATTTTACTTATCCGTTACTCGTCCGATAGGGTACTTTCCATCCCACATGCACATTCCTTTCATCATTTTTGATGTTTTTCTGTCGTTTTCTTTGCCTATGATACTCTACTGCGTTCGAAACGGCTATTCCAACGAAGTGTTTGCATGAATCATTTCCTATCGCCCAGTAGCTTGCTATTTGGCTGGGTGCCCCACTGGATAAACATATGTACTCCTTATTATGTCCCATTTTTTAATGCTGCCGCGCGAATCAGACGATCATTATTCACTTTTCCTTCCCCCAGGATTATGTCGGTAAAATTATCCAGTTGTGCGTTCTCCCAGAGACATTGGTACACATTTTCACCCGCACCTCCAAGGATGAGCAGGAAGTTCACTTTGCTTTTTTGGAGGTTAGTTTATTACTCGAATCCTTTTCGCTTGTTTTATATTTAAACGATCTTCATCATAACCGAACGTTACGGTTTACTCTTTTTTTAATGCATAATGCAACAAATACTGTAAATTACCGAAAATAATCCGATGATTTTTAGGCAGTTTTTTGTTTCTGTAGATTGGGGTTGGTTTCTAAAATGGCTATACGGAATTTGAAAAAAGTCACATGCAAAATCCACCCAGAAATTCAGTGCCCACCACTGCGCTTATCGCCCGTTAGCACTACTCGCTAGTGACGGACGGTATTCCAGACAGGAATTTGAAGTGCCTATAACTGGACACGTTGCTTTTGTGTCGAAATTCCTATTGCGCATTTGACTTTCGTGATAAATAGCAATAGCGGATCAAAAACCCTTAAGCATTATGTTATGCCAGGTGATCCGGTCGTCCCACACCTCTGTCTGCGAAATTCGCTCTCACCCACTGCTCTGCTGTGGTTCATATGCATGAGGCCCCTTTCACCTTACGCCACATTCTCGGCTGTCTTACCTGTTTCATATGACTTGATGTCTAGTCAATACTGTCCTGTTTGATGAAAGTCTGTTCTGACGGCCCTACGCCCCATTAACCGAGAGTATAACATTACGGTCAACACAGCTGACCAAGAGTAGAGCAGGTTTTACTTGAAACTTAAGTGAGAGCAGGTAGTGATGACGTCGAAATCGTGGAGCAACAATTTTGCTTCCCGTTTGCTGATATTTTGGGGTCGGCCAGTACAGGGACTTACGACTTTGGACAAATTCGATGTTGCAGTTATACTGTCGGCTTATTTATGAACGGGCTTATATTCGGTAATTTACGGTAGTCAACCTGGCTTCCTACACGTACTGGTCACTGTTACCAGTCCTGTTGGCAGGGTCATCAACTGTGTCCTTAATTTTGTTTGTTTCTGTAAGATAGTCAACGTTAGGAATCAGATGAAAAACCAGTGGCTTACATTTTCAGACATTTGGCTTTTAACCAACGAATCACAGGTCCGACTCGGCTTAGATATGGCCCTTCTTACAGTAGTCCGGCCAATATACAATGGCTGCCGATTGCGTGGTGATGAAACATCGGCATGAAACTCTAGTACAGTGTTGGTTTACTTTACAAACGATATTGCATTGTTGTGTAAGACGAAACTTCGTCGACTGCCCGAACGAAGCCATTGACTGTAATTGGTAGGTACCTCCCTTAAATCGCGTTCAGGAATGGGTACCGAGCACGGTCCATTTTTTGTGAACCGGTGGATATTTGCACTATACTGAATTTAAGGTCACTTCATGGGTCACAATCATCATTTTGACTTGATTGCCCCAGGATTGCCCTGGTTTTTCGCTGCTCGAGTCAGTCCACTACATCGCACCCTGTTCTCACTGGGCCAAATCATTCGTGCACTATCAGACTGGAGTGGTAGTCACCAACACTTTGGTTTATCGAATGATGCGTTGGTGGTGCCCGGCTGGTTGGTTATTCACAGATTCCTCATTTGTTTGGCCCACTGAATCAGTAGATAACACCACATTATGTGTGGAGTATTCAACAGTAGTAGGCAGGTGCGGCGCACCGATTCTTCGCTGCTACGCTGACACCAAGAGTCGCTCGCGGGTTAGGGATTCTTCGAAGTCGACGCATTTACGCAAATTCGAACCGGTGACTTTTGGGTTACAACACGAATGCCTCATCCCTTCGGCCACCGGCCGGTCCTGCGTAGTGCACCCTGCGTTTCCCATGGTTTGCACCTTGAAATACCTCCGTTGTTTTCGTCAAACACGCAGCAATTTCGATAGGCTTCTGATTCGGACGTTTTTCTTACTACTCTCCTTCGACTCTTCATCATCACAACTTTCACATTTTCTTCCTCGTCCAGTCCCACTTGGGCATGACCATTGAACGGATTGCTCGCCTGAACGACGTATCTCGTCTGATGCACCTGTTCGTGCTACGGCTCTATCCCTATCGTGTGGGCGCCAGTCTTGGACTGCGATGGATCGCCTCGCGCGTGTTGTCTACGCGAAACGCACCTGGCTCTGTTCTCAACAACTCTCCTGTACGTTTCATGTGTTGGGTGTTCATTAATGTTTGTAATCTTCATCGCTACATTTATCTTTTCGGTGCTTCCTTACTCGCTTTTTTCCGGCGGAAAGTTTCCTATCTTTTAATGCATTCTATTAACACGCGATTTTCGAGTGTCACTGCACTCATATTGCCAAAGAGCACACGCGGCACGCACAGTTACTCACGTGTTATGACATCGAGTCGGTTTTGACCTAACATTGTCGCTGATGCCACGACCCGTGTGCAACTGCATCTGAAGACCACCCCAGTAACTTGACTGTTTACTAATACTGTCCGGACTTCTGAGATTAATTGAGCTGGCTAAATCCCGTGTTCCCATGAGGAAAACGTACTGGTAGTGGACCGAAACCAAAGTCGAAGCATAGAGAGCGGGGGGGATCGAGTGGAAAGAAGCTGCAACGAGATCGTCCGAGTGACAGATCAAATACGAACTTGAACCACGGCTCTGAGTGTTACATCCATGTGACTCCCTCCTATTGTACGTAATTAATGCCCCAATTTTAACAAAATTCAAAAGACGGTGTGATGACACATTGACTTAGCACCGTGTCGTGGTATAGCCTGTGCTCATGAAAATAACGGTCTTTGCGCAACTCAAACATTAGACTATATCAGACTCCTATTAAAATCCAGGAAGAAGTGCTTTCATCTGTATTACAGCAGGCCTTTTGCTCAGTGCAGAAACATGCACCTTATTTTGTCGGCACTGTGTTTTCATATTGCAGTTTCCACCCTAACCATCCTACGGGACTTGTCAAGTAACTGTTTTTTCCCGTTATAAACCATTGCCGTTCAGATGGCTCGTTTAAAATGATTCGATGGCTCGTTTGTCTATTGCATTCAGGTGCTGTGGCCACTGAGCATGTCGTTGTCATGGTTCCTTGCTCGCTCACCACTGTGCGTTCTCCTTCCTTATTCACTTGTCTGTGAATGACCCAGTTTTCCTCGGGTGTGCGGTTACCATTCCTTCTTACTGTACATCTCATCACGCCTGTTTCCTCTGCAACTGCTTTCCCTCTTGCTGTTGCATTGGTTGCCTTTGTGTTAGCGGTGCTATTTGCAATTGCACTAGGTTAGAAATTCCTCGAAGCATGTTAGCCACTAATCGGCGCTGACCAAACAACTGCTCATCATTCGCGCCGTTCCTGCTCGTTCTCAATTGTCGGCTTTATACAGTTTTGCTTTTTCGATGCTTCATGTGAAGACACTCTCTTGCCCAGTTTTCTGATGTGCTTTTTGGTCGGGCATCTTTGTGAACCGACTTTGTACAGTGGGCTTGTTTGATCGACCCGCTTTGCTTCACAGCGCAGTTAGGCGTTATAGCCATTGACGTTTTCGCATACAGTTCGTCCTTCCTATTTTGTGTATCCATTGTGTCAGACTACATACTTTGAGTTGCATACCACGGTCTGTTAGCGCAACGACACCCTAAGACTAACCAATAATATGACAAGCGTCGTCCGCTGCACTAGGTGATTTAGAACTGAAAACAATAAGTCGTAGTCTCTACCTGAAGTAGCAGATTTGCTATCTGTACCAGAAATGTGCAAAGAAGCACGAGACCGATCGCTGAGAACAAGCAACATCTGCTAGTTACGCTTTCTAGATGCTGCCCTAATGACCAAACTGACCTAGCTTCACTGCAGCTAGCTGGTTCAAATCGAAATTATACGTCGCAATCCATTTACACACATCAAGCGTTTCAGTCAGACAGTCATGGAGTTCACCATTTTCCTTACCCCAGGCCGATTTTCTTGGTCAATACGTTTGCGGCATTTTGGCATCCTTTGACAGCACTCTCTTGGACAACGACACTATGTTCGAGTATAGGTGGATTGCTCTTCGGAGCCTCGTCGTCTTTATACAACTCCTCGGACGAAGCCATGTTACTCGTATGCGTGCCAAATTCATGGCCACTTTGAAGTGAGTACTACTCCATTGACCGATCTCCTTACTGCGATCGCATGTATCAGTTTGTAACCTTTACATCAAGGTTGTCACCCTTCTGTTGTTTTATATTTATTTTAGAATATGTTTGCGATACACTACGGCACCATTTGCCAAAGTGGTCATCAAAGCTTGGCGGAGCTTCATACGCATGTAAGTCTGTCTATCTTCCTTAATTTTGCTGATGTATGTCGCTTGCTAATTGCCATGACACTGTCCGTATGATTACCGGCTCCGAGATGTGTCATCAGAAATCTATCTAGTTACACGAATCTTCTGCCAGCATTGATTTTTCGTGTCTAGACTCATACTTATCATTCCATTCCGGTCATATTACATACAGGCTAGAACTGGATGCACTTTGTGAGCTACTACCCGATTTGGGCGCAACACTTGTCAGTTTGATGCCTTACGGGCCGGAGCAAGTTACCGATTTGTTCCATTATTTCTTCCTTGAAAAACGGTGAGTGCTACTCAAATCTCGACACCACGTCCACATTTTTCTATTCTTTTTTTCACAATCACCGCTTGCTTTTCTTTCCCACAATTCATTCGTGGTCCCATGCTTTGCAGCAAGGAAAACGCGTTCCATCTGTTTCACGAGTGTGGCAACGCACCTCATCACTCTACACAGTGCACCATAACATCCTGTTCAGTAGAGTTAACCGATCCATTAACTTACTACAGATAAATATATCAAAAGCCATAACCTGATTATCAGCTACAGAGATATTCCGTACTGTACTCTTACTTTTATCGTCCGTCCCTTACCTTTCACTTGCTAAGGACCTCGTTGTTTGAGTCGCATCTCCATCAGCTCATGTGTTGCCAGTCATGACAGATTCTGATGTATATCAGGATATTCGGCTGTGTCTCTGAGTCCCCGGAGTTGCAAGATCTATGTGATTAGGGCTGTAGCTCTTCACTGGTAGCTGGTTTGTTTTCTTTCTTCTCCTACTCCAACCTTGTTTTCTTATTCTGACATGGTCCCGATGGCACAATATCTGTACACAGATTGTGATCTATATATGTATTGGTCACCGGCACCTCACGAATCACGGAGCTTGGGTCACTCTGTTTACCGGACATTTGTTTGCATAAACACTAACAAGTTACTCTATTCTGCTTCTGCGTATCTCTGAAATTCCCACATAGTCAATTACTCATCAGCCACCCTCTCTTTTTCTCTTTACTTATTTTGTGTGCCATCTTCACTTTTTTATAGAGATGACATCGGCGATAAGCTATCTTGCTTATTTTTTTTACCGAGGGCCCCTAAGCTGCTAACTTGCCAACAGATTTTGGATGACCTCTGCCCCCTGTGAGTTCGGTTGACTATGACGCTGTTCTTACTTCCATTACATGACCGCATTTCTTCATAAACGCGGTCTTATCAATCAACTTTCTGCTTACAGTCTCCTCAAAATGTTATTTACTTCATACTTTGTTGATCATTTTCACAACCATGTCGATGTGCGTCTTCAAATGGCTTCGCTGTTATCCAAACTCTCGACCACAACTTGAGATTACACATTGTCGTTGCTCTTTTTTCGTAGACGTTCGCTACCTGCTTGCAATCTTTCCGACTACACCGAAATCCAACTGAAGGGTGTGTTGTCGGCTTGGCTTTCCGCCCTCACTCACTCCAGTCGCTCTGTCCGCCGTCTCGCATTAACTTCCGAGCTTGGAATATCGGGTGTCAACGATCCAGAGATTTTCGGTTTCAGTCGCGGCACTTCGTGTTGTCTCAGGGATTTGTGCGGCTTAATTAATGGATTACTTTCCGGTCGTGTTCGCAGTGATCAGTTGCATGACTCGGAGAATTCGTGCTCACAGCTAGCCTGCCTCACCGCTACACGTCATTCGGGGAACAACCATCCAGCCTGCGATATCTTCTCACTTCTCGCCGATCTCATATCAGCACTTTTGGAGGGATTGACAAGGGATACGGACGAGCGGATGCGCCTCCTGTACGCTCGATGGCTGGGACACATTGGAGCGATCGATCCAAGCAGGTGAGTGTCTCCCACGCGACAGCACGTTTGCCCCATTGTATGTCCCTTTTATCCACCCTTTTCCTCCTGTGTGCCATGGCCCTTTCCTAGAATCTCCTTCTCTGACCGAAATGCAACCTCCCCGGTTGGCAACACTGGGATCGAGCAAGTGCACGTCAACGATCGTCGATTCCCATATTACATTATGTATGAGCTCGCGAAAATTTACCTTCGAGCTGCTAGCCCTAAACAACTGGTATGTTCTCCTATTTGACACTGTACTCTATCTTAACACCATTTGTCGCTGTGACATTGACCATCAAATTTGTTTCAATCACTACGATTTTCATTGGGGTCTTCTGGGATAAATGTGAGACGGTTTCTGCGCACCTACATAGGCTAGTCGTGGTACTGTTGCATACGTCGTGTTTGCCTAATATGCGCGTTTGATGAGAAATTCGCCAACTACTCGATATGCTATTAGCTTTTCGCAACACTACTTTGGCCACCAAACTCCTTTCATAGTTGAACCATGTGACCGTACTCGAACTATGAACTGCTCCCTGAATACTTTAGTCGGTTATCGTTTTGGATATTTTCAGCATTGTGCAGAGGTTTTCAGCATTCCCTTTCAAGCCCACCTTATACTTTGACACTAGTTTTTGCGCCCGATGTATTCATTCCTACTTTTTGGGTACCGCCCGAAGCTCCAAAAATAAATAGGGATATCGACTTAATTTTGTCTTCTGTTACCGGGTCGCCTACGCAATTGTCTTTTTCATACCTCGATGCGCTCTATTTTCTCTTCTTGCTGGTTCGTATTATCGGCATTTTTGATACAATCAAGACTCTTCATACTTACTAAATCCTTTGTGTTGTACACAATGAAACGGGGCCTTTACTTGGTTTATGTGTTTTTATGCCCCATGATCCACTTAGAAAAGCACAATCCTACTTCCATCACTCCTTCACCGCAACAGTGATTTCAACATACTCCTCGTTGGATGCACGAAAGCTATCCACCACCGTCGTTAACCAAAACGTAACTATCGGAAATCAGAGTTCTCGGGTTATTCAGGTTACTCTACTGGTGGTTGTCATTATATTATCTCTGATAGTTTAGAGGATACAACTGCCTTTAATCTGCGCCTCAGTTATATCATCTGATACGATCGCTTAAATATTTCTGTGCTTCTAGTTGTTCCCAGGTAGACTTGCCGTATACATCCTAGGTCTAGGCATTCTCGAACAAGGTTCCTCTCTCTAATCGAACTGTCTAATCATATCGTCCGCCCACATCGCCTCATATTCCTTCTCCTATTTACACATTTTATACTACTTGACAAACTTGCAGGTAACTGTCTCCGCCTTCACCACTTCTGCTCACAGTGTGTCTATATCATCACACAATCCTAGAGTCCCGTTCACACCGAATCGTTTAATCTTCGCAGTTTATTCCAAATCAGTCAGTCCCTTGCAGCTTACTCTTTTACCTCCCATCCGGAAAGCACAGTTTTATGACCACTCCGTACATATTTATTCGTTTCTTTGATCGCTGTGTCTTCGCCTATCATGTCGATGAAAGCACCTAGCTTCACCGCCTGCAGGTAATCGTGCTTTTGTCCCTTTGTGAAGAATTGAGCGGTCCATTAATTCACATATGCCCACTGAGTAGATTTTGGCTATTCCATCGTCCAACCTCCTTCCGTTCACGCAGTTGTTTAATCACTATGTTCAATTCAGTGCACTGACACTCGCGGCCCTTGTTCTCACGATATATATATATATATATATATATATATATATATATATATATATATATATATATATATCATTACTGCTCCTCTTCTCCACACCAGGATTCGGCTGCATTAGCAATTCAAGAACTACTGAAGCTGTTCAAAGTTCCGACCGATCAGATTGCCTCCTTTTCTTTCACCTTGCGAGCCCAGTCAGCGTCTGATTTGGACAACGCCGATAAAAGCACCTTTCCATATGCATCTGGAGAGGAGTTGTGGGAATTGTTCCCAGAGCACTTACGCGATTTGTTCACTCCCCTCATAACCTCTCGGTTAGTTAAATACTATACTTTCAAGCTTGTAGCTCTCTACCACTATCTAACCTTTGTTAACAGATTTATATCTGACGCTTTTCTACTTTTGCTATTGCATTTGACCTTAATCTGATCCTATACTTGAATTTGTTCGAATAATGCAGTCTGCTTCGCGAGTTCCGTTTTCTTCCCTTCTGCTTTGCGCACTGCTTCCATGTAACCAGCACGCTCAAGGGATACTTCATGTTATTCTTCTTTCGCACTTTTTAGGTTCATGTTTATATCCCACTTATCTTGTGCTTACAACGTCGACTACCTGATTATTACTCAGCGGATGCTTTACTCTGATCCAACTGATAATTGCATTGTCCCGACCTCCCACCATGTTTTTGTTGGAACCACCTGGTTACCTATGTCATACCCCACTCTCCTCTTTATTCCTTTCAGGTACGCTGTGGAAGCTTTCACTGACTGGACAGACGTACAATTTCCCCTCCTTGCCACACAACCGGATCTAAACTTCGAATCCTGGGTTCGTCTTTGGACGGGATCACTAAGTGCTCAAGTGAGTTTTGCTGTATCATCGAAGCTAATCTCCGTCGCAGATCACCTCTCCACACTCCTCTCTTTTTCAATACTGCGAACCTGTTGTGAAGGCTGATGCCAGTTTCGCTCGCACTCTGCTGGAGCACGTTGCTCTACAGTTGCTGCTGGATGATTCCCACAAAGGTATTACACAGGTGAGTCTATTAGTACGGTTTCTTCTTGTCTGTACCTGTGTCATGTTTCATGGCTTCACGTTCTGAACCTGACTCATCTTCACCCAACATTCGTTATCTCCTATCTCCTTAGCTGTAAACTTTTGTAGTACTCAGCTGCCTTCATTTGGGCAACTGCGCTATCCGATCCTGAGTACGACAATTCAAATTACGTCCGCTCGTGTCTTTATTGTAATATGAACCAGGAATTATAACGAACCACGTGGCACATTGTAATAAAGTGAAATAATTCACAACCGCATGCCGGAAGTTGGAAAACCAAGGAATCATCGGTGTCGCCATTTCGATTGAGTTTCTACTCACTGATCCCACAATTCTTCCGTGCTGTAGCACGCTGACTTTGCTTACTTTTTATCTTACCGATGTTTAGACCATGTTGCCACTCATTATATGTACATATTCATTTCAGCGATTGATTTCCCCATTTTAATATAACGCGAATGCAATGAGGCATAGCACACACCTATCATTTAATAATTAAGTTTACCGTAGGGAGTGTGGGCACTCGATTCCCAAACAGACCGCGGACCATTTTCCCTTTATTCTTTAAGTGGCATAGTTCGCTTCTCCATTGCTTTGCATCACGTGTCCCGATTCTGGCCGTGCCTTATTCCGATGCTTGTTTAGTTAGGAGTTACACCGAGTTGACCGAAATGTCTACGAATAATGTGTCGGTTTTATTGTAATCGTCACCATTAACACCGATTAATTATCCTGACTTCGGCAGCAGGTGATATGCAGCAACCTCACCTCCGGACGTATTAGGGGAACCGTGGTCGTCTGCAACCGTGACAAACAGGCAATCAAGCAAAAATTTCAGCTTGCATTTGCTCAGACGAGAGGTTATTGCTATTGGAGTCTTTTGACGAAATGGCTGTCGAACTGCGCCAAGGACGAGGATATTTGAGCTCAAACTTAACTCGTCAACGGTCATTACTCTTCTCTGCAAAATTTGTGTTATTCTGGCAGGAAAACGTTTCAGGCTGGTTTCCAGGCCCATATTGTGCCTTGTCTCTACTCCAATACCTTTCTTGTGGCCTGGTCTAAGTGTGCTCACGTTATCCGATGATTACCAGATAGCTGCACTACATAACAACGCAACGGACTTTGGCAGTAGTTTAGCTAAGGATGACATCACATGAATTTCTATGAAAGTCATAAAGTCTCCCGTTCACAACGCAGTGTAACCTTCTAGTAGAAGCAGCGACAGCTACGTTTGCACCACCCTACTACGTTTCCCAATGTTTATCTTGTGCTGTGATAAATTCCTTGTTATCACATCTCTTGTGTTCTTTTCCCCCTCTGGCGATTAGCTCAAAATCGAGATATTATCTATTCTCACTGAGGTGGCCGAGTCGGAAAGTGGAGACGGATGTATACAAAGCAGTCCGGAGAATTTGATCGCCACTACTTCTATCCCAGAGGTACTTTTATGGATATTTTCCAATTTTATTATTAATATGTATGGCATCATGTAACTAGGAATTGGTCCATTCTATTTTCTAATTGGCGAAGCCGTTAACACGACTGTGTTTAAACTTGGGAGACAGAAGCCTCTCATGATGAGCGAATTTCCAGTCGTGTTGTTTTATCACCCATGTTTTAGCTATGCATCTGCCGCCCTGCCAGTTCGCTGCACGGCCTATGCATGCTTGCGAATAATGCGCAGATGTTTATCTCACACAGTAGTCTCTGAGGTTTACTCTTAAAGTCGGCCGTTGCCTGCTGTATCCGCGACGGTAGATCCTTACAATCTCCGGGACTGTATTCGCTGGTAACATTGACCCAGCCATAACACACTGCATTTCGTGCTCTTTCTATGTTGATTGGTCGTAGTAACTACACTTGGGCAAGTCTGACAAATTACCTCTGTAAGCGTCAAAGCGCTTGGAACGTAAGCAACTGGTATATTATCGGGAAATTGACATGCCAAAACCGAAACTATTTGCAATTATGAAAATATCATAAAACTCATATTTTAACGGTTTCCAAACGAAACTAATGTGCAATCCATAGTCAAAACTGTGAAGCTCACTGAGCAGTCCAGCATCAAAACGGATGGGATGGCAGAGAAATTCAAATGAGGACAAATACAGAGTACGGAATAGCTGGACTGTGGATCATTCAAGGCTAAACAGTTTAAAAAAAGGAGGATCGGTTAAGTGTCTAATTAGATGGCAGGAAACACATGCAACGTAGTAAGCGAATTAAATGAGCGTTACATCTGTCTGCTGTCACATCTTACTGAACAACCATTATCAGCTGCTTTTGCAGAATGCGCGCCTCACTGTCTTCAATCTTCCTGGACGTCTCACCTACAATTTACTATTTTTCTTAAGAGTAAAAAGCCCACTTACTTTTTGCTTCTTTTACCTTAAGTTAGTAGTGTGGTGATTTGAGTCATGTCAAGTAGATCCACTACAGCGTTGAACGGACTACAGTCGATCAGCTGAGCTGAGCTGTATTCTTCATATTTCCAGTTTGATTATTGATTCGTTCTCCTAAAACAGCAACGTCCGTTAAGATTTCCATCCTCCCTATTTATGTAGGTCAACATGCTCTCTAGGCGTGACACTTATTTTGTTGCTATTTGACTAGACACATTGTGTCGCTTATCTTTGTTTTGCGACTTGTAGTTCATTTCCCTATAAGATGGACCATCAGACCACACATTGGTGAGAACAATTAGGTATTATCATCATTCCTTTTCATCATGGCGCCGGGTACGGGAATGCACCATACATAACCATGTTAATCTCTTAGAGGAATGTACGACAGATGGTTAGACGGAAGCGTATGATAACATATAGGGACTCGTAGTTTTCTTGTCTACGGGCATTCATCCTCGGTTTTTCCCTACCCAGCCCTGTTAGATTGTCTGTATAGATCTCAGCAATGGATTAATTAAACATAAGCCACTCGGTAAGCGCACTGTACGGCACAGACCAACCACTGGGATGGATCGAACTTTTGGTTGCGCACAGTACGTTCCATTTGTCGAAATAGATCGTTCAACGACTTTTTGACCGATTAGTTTAGACCTCTGACTTGTAATCCACGCATTATCCCTAGCCTCCGCACAACGGTCAGTGGTCGTGTGGCAGCGAAGCGACTAACGTACAATTGGTAGCCGCTTTTTGGAAAATCAGTGACTGGCATGAAGACAACTGTTATCTTCGCTACTCTTAACAACTCATGCTAAATATCGTCCCATGGTGGGTGTCACCTCTTGTGACGTATCACCGCCAGTTCTCTCTGCACACATGCCACGCCCACTGCTGCCTGATGAGTGTTTAGCGATCGCCCGCTACCAGATTCGAATTGCTTATGTCTAGACTGAGTGCATCACTTTTCTCAATACACCATAGTGATTACAGGGATCGTCTTGTAAACAACATTGGCGTCACGGCTGCGAACCGCTGCATTGGTATTTTATCTTTCGTCTCCGGAAGGGTATCAGTTGAACCTTCTTCATCAACTATCAGGCAAGGAAGTCCGACGCATTGTAAACACAAACAGTAGACACGCTTACGAAGAGGCTGGATGTATTGAACCGATCTTGTTGTGTTGAACTATGCTGATGTCGTCGTTTTGCGAGAAGGAGATCCACAGGCCGTCCGAAATATTTCCAAACGTATAGCGATAGAAGTACAGCAAAACCTCCGTTGGTTGACCACTCAACGTACTGGACCAAAATGGTCATCGAGAGGTGGTTAACATATGGAGGTCCTATACAAAGATTTAGCATATCTTATTTTCCAATTGTGAAGTAGCATAGTACAAAATTTATTTTCACGCACACCCTGTTTCGAATGTAGTAGATGAACTCCTTCATAACAGCAAACAAGTTCTCATGACCCACTAATTACTTATGTGTTTGTAGTTAAATGTTTCTAACTGTTGCCTTGCTAACACCAAAATGTTCCGCCATTTTCCTTGCATGCTGCTTTTCAGAAAATGTTGCCGATCAATCTACTTCATTATCAACTATTTGAGGTCTTCTGGATATGATGCTGCGAAACGCGTAATAGCCGATTCCAAATTTTTCAAAGCACAAATTGCTTCCAAAATCTAACGTGCTACTTACAGAACATTAATTAACTACCTTGGTGTTGACGCTCTCATGTAAACAACAAATAGCGCCGGATAGTCGCCTAACCATTAGTGTGGATGTAAACATCAATGTCGCCGCAATCCAAGAGCCTAATGAACGGATTTTGAACAAGTTAACTCATAATCGGTTAATCTATCAATATTTATTTTTGGAAAAAGCATGTATGGCTCGAGAAATGAGCAGTACAGCAATTTGTCGAATGGCCCCGGCATAATAGTAAGGAAATGGCCCAACAGATGCTCAGGGAACTCGGTTAAGGACCGCACACCAAGTACTTGTCTGTGGTTGTGTTATAATGATTGTGTTTTGTGGGCTGCACCTTGCATATAAACATCATACACAAGTATAGTTCTTCGGATGGTGGAGATACACAGACCAGAAATATCCAAGGTCGAGAGCCTCAATGACAACAGATGTTTGGTTGGCTCGGGATGGATGTATCTTCTATTGTTTAAGAGGAGCGGATAACGCACAATAGAAGAGGTTGTTGAGATTGCAGTTTGTGGATACTTTCTGGAGGCCGCTGCGTGATCACTGACGCCATATTTCTCCATCTTGTTTCGGTATTATTGAGCCATCCGGTGTGTGTTATGGACAGCGCTATCCATCATATAGATATTACCGTCCCAGTTGATGAGTAGATCTGGCTCGATGTAGGTCTTTGGCATGGGGATGCGTGGTTCTGGGTCAACTGTAGCTCCCCTACGGCTTAGTATCGTTGCACCTTGGTTGGCAATGTGATTGTGCCGTTTACAGCGTGCATCATGGGTTACGCCGCAAAATTGTAACACGGGAGATGGATTAGTGTTGATCACATGAACCGCGGCAATCGAGATCGCATTGGGAACGCGATGTTCTGCCTCTGACACTTCTGACCTTCATAGGAAGGACGTCTGCGCGTAATTGAGTTGCCCTTGTTAATAAGCGCGAGACGTCGCGTAGAGTTTGCAGGAGCCATCAATGAGCAATTGGATGCTTTGGAGCTTGACATCGAGTGGATCCCTCAAGAGTACTGAGTAGCTGAGTCTTCCATGCTTACTTTGCCGCAGCTTTGTCCGTCACAATTTGCCCACCTACGATGAGTGGCGAATTAACTAACTGATGTATCGCCGAAGCGAATGGCCCAGCTCAGAATGAAATTTAGGTTAGAGAAATGTCGCTCCAATTTATCTTTCCGATGAAACTAGGAATGCCTAAGTCTTGGTCATTTATGGTTGCATGGGAAAATGAGACGGCTGTATTCTTGGGTAATCTTAACCATTTGCAAATGGTGGCCCTGATTAATTTGTCTATCATTTTGCGGGTGTATTGATGTAGTACTGCCGGCGAGAGGCTGCGGATAGGTCATGGGACGCGGAAGGTCCTGAGGACTTCAATCCGCCGGTGTGTTTTAATGGTGCTTGCGAAGTTTCTTGGAGTTACTGCCGCAGTTCATCGAGCGAGTGAGGCGATAGCTTGCCATACCAGCTAAAACATAAACCCAGGAACTTAAACGAATCCGTCGGTTATACTGATGGTTCATCGATCCGACTTACAGGTTAGATGTGTCCGGTAACGCTTTCTCCCTTTATCTATCGTTGACTATCTTTACAGTATTGGTTTTCATTTGGTTTATATCAAGGCCAACAAGCTGTAGGTTGTTGTGAAAAATGAGGAGTCGTAGTGCACCTTTGTTTTCCGCTACGATGATCACGTCATCCGCGCACGCAATATAATCAACCTGGCCTGCGACGCACATCCAGCGACAAGAAACAGGCTTTTAAAGAGCTTCGTCGAGCGTAATGATAAAAAGTGTGACTTAAAGTGGGTCCCCTTGTCTAACGCCTCGCTCTGGGTGCATTCGCACCTCCCGAAACGTTGAGATCGCAGTGTAATCAATAGAAATGTTAGGAGCTCTAAAAGTAGATATGGCTCCATTTAGGGAGTTGTGAGAGATGGAATCAAAAGCGTTTGAAATGCCCACAGAGGCGAAATAGAGGGGGAAGCAGTGAGATGAGAGGGGCGAATCATGGAATGAAGAATGTATGGGACCTTAAGGCATCCGTCTTTCCGGAGAAAACCGAAACTTAGGCGGTCGGATGGCAAGAAGGGGATCCAGAGCTCAGGGAGAATACGGTGCAAAAGGCAAGTGAAAACGGACGTCACAGATATTGAGCGGAAATGTTCCGTAGCTCGGAGACGAGATCTTTGGAATGAATGTAACTCAAGCTGCATTAAGAGGGTTATGGGTAAGTGGCATGAACGGAGTTAATCAGAGGCAACGAAGTGGGGACCCATGATTCGACATCTTTTGGTTTTATGCGGTCGACG